GTCGCTCCTCCCGCGCGGCGCCGCGGCGACAGCAGCGACAGCGCCAACAGCGCCGGGCCGCCTCTGCATGGCCCCTGCGCGGGACATGAGCAGCGCGGCCCCCGGCGTCCGCAGCGACGAGCCGCCCGCCTCCGCCTCCGCCTTCTGCAAGCCCGGCGGCGGCCTCCCCGCGGCGGCGGCGCCGGCCGCGATGGGCGGCGAGGAGGAGAGCGACAAGCCCAAGGTGTCCCCGTCCCTGCTGCCCTTCAGCGTGGAGGCGCTCATGGCCGACCGCAGGAAGCCGGGCGGCAGGGAGGCCCCGGCCGGCAGCCCCGAGGGCGCTGCCCGCGCCAGCCGCAGCCCCCGCCTGGGCGCCCTCTCGGCCGAGGCGCCCGCCTCGCCGCTGCCCCTCGGCAGCCCCTTCGCCGTCGGGGGGCTGGTGAAGCTGCCCGAGGACGCGCTTGTCAAGGCGGAGAGTCCCGAGAAGCAGGAGCGCAGCCCCTGGATGCAGAGCCCCCGCTTCTCGCCGCCCCCGCCGAGTAAGTGGCAGCGCGGGCGGGCGGGAGCACCGGGCCGGGGTCTCTTCGGGTTTCCCTCGAGCCCGTTCCCGCCGTTCCTTCCCTCGGCCGCGACACCGCGGCGATCTCGAGATATCGAAACGCTCCAAACGGGCGCGGAGCGTTGCTCGGCCGCGGGACACGGGCTTCGAGCGCGGGGCAGAGCGGCCGCCGCCAGGGCCGCCTCTCGTGTCAAACGTTAACTGGGGAGGGAAAAAAATAAAAACAAAAAAAACAAACAAACAAAAAAAAGACCAGGCCTTTTCTGCTCGTTAGCTTAGCTTTGGGTCTGAAAGCCGTGCAAACTCCGCGAGCGTGACTTGATCCCTCAGAAGTGGTTTTATTTTTTGTTATTGTCGTTTTTTTCCCCCTGAAACTGGCTGGAATTGCTTTGCGAGGACGCGCGTAGCTCGGGCTCCCCGCGGGCGGGCTGCGGCGCCGCGAGCCGCGCTTCGGCAGCCCCGAGAGCGGCGGGTCCCGGCGTTGCGCTGCTCTCCTGCCGAGGCCTCCAGCAGGAAAAACATAACGGGGGGATAAAGCGCGGGTCGTGCTGCCCGTGCCTGCGCGCAGCCCCGCGCGTCGGAGGCGCCGCTTTTGCTCCCGCTTGGGAGGAAACGTCCCCGAGCGCCCCGCGGAGCAAAGCAAACCGCGGCGGCTTCGCTTATTTAAATCGCAAAGTCAAAGTTGTTTTTGCTAAATAAACCGCGAACGTGCCGAGGTTGAGGACCCTTAGAAATGTTAAATAGGAGAGGAGGAAACGGAGGAATAGGAGGTAGTGTGTGAATTCCGAGCTCCCAATTAATTAGGCGCTTAATCCGGTTCCCAGGGGCCTCATGAAGAGGGCGCGAGCCTCAGACACAGAGCGGGCGCGTTTGTTTCCCCCCCGCTAATCCCATAGGAAGCGCAGCCCGTCCGGGCGCGCAGGTGGGAAGAGGCGCTCGCGCTGACGGGACCGTCAGCTCGGGACACTCAAGGGACTTCTTAGTAAAACCCGCCGGTTTTACTGGGACCTGCTGCGACCCCGCGGGCCCCCCAAACTGGCGAGTTTTGGGGATGCTGTGCTCCGAGCGGGAGCCTATTTCCCAGGGACCATCGGTTACTTCGGGGACGCTTCCGGGCGCTGCTAACTGAGCTGTCTGTCTGTCTCCCCACCCCAGGGCGCCTGAGCCCCCCGGCCTGCACCCTGCGCAAGCACAAGACCAACAGGAAGCCCCGGACGCCCTTCACGACGGCGCAGCTGCTGGCGCTCGAGAGGAAGTTCCGCCAGAAGCAGTACCTGTCCATCGCCGAGCGCGCCGAGTTCTCCAGCTCGCTCAGCCTCACCGAGACGCAGGTGAAGATCTGGTTCCAGAACCGCCGCGCCAAGGCCAAGCGGCTCCAGGAGGCCGAGCTGGAGAAGCTCAAGATGGCAGCCAAGCCCATGCTGCCGCCCGCCGCCTTCGGCATCTCCTTCCCGCTGGGCGGCCCAGCCGCCGTGGCGGGCGCCTCCCTCTACGGAGCCTCCGGCCCCTTCCAGCGGGCAGGGCTGCCCGTGGCTCCCGTGGGACTGTACACAGCACACGTGGGATACAGCATGTACCACCTCACATAGAGGTGCCCCCCGGGCCCTCTGTGCCGCGCGCTCCTCGTGGCAGAGACTCGGGCACCCAGCCCCGCCGTCCAGCCCTGCTCTGCTGCCGACGGCAGCACTGGGGGCCCAGGAGAAGCCCCAGGTGCCTCACCGGCTTCCCCATCCGCATCCCGCTGTCCCCCAGCCGTCGGGAATGGCTCGTAGAAGAGCAATGGCAAATGGGGCCGGAAAGACAGGACTCTGCTCGCCCCTTCTCCAAGGCAGCCTCTGTCATCCTGGTGTAGCAGCGCGGGCAGCTACCTGTGTTCATTCCTGCACCAGCCCCTTTGGAAGGGGCTCTGCGTACTGTGTAATATACTGTATATTTGAAATTTTATTATCATTTATATTATAGCTATATTTGTTAAATAAATTAATTTTAAGCTACTTTGGTTTGATGCAATTTGTTCATTCCTTGCTGATTCTTTGACACAAGAACCCAAATCTCAGGGGAGAGGGAGTGTCAGGGAGAAGGGGAGCTGATCTTCCCGGCAGCTTTGTGGCTGTCCTAGCTGCTCTGCGTGCCAGGAACTGCCCCTTCCCTCACAGCCCCTCCGTGCAGGGCTCGGGACCCGAGAGCGGGGCGGGAAGGGCCCAAAGCGGCCCCGGGCTCCGACAGCGCAGCGGGGGGCAGCGGCTTCTCTTCCCCGCGTCCCGCAGGGCGCTCCTGGAGGCTGCGGGGTTTGGGCTCGGGGCCGCCACGTGCGTGCCGGCCCTCGAGGGGGATGCAGGGCACCCCGCAAGGCCGGGCCGGGGGGGAGCGCTGCGGTCGCTCGCAGGAGCGGGGCCAGCGCGGGCGCCGTGCGCGGCGAGAGGCGCAGGGCAGCGGGGAGGCTCCGCCGGGGCGGCCGCCGCGCCGGGGACGGTCGCTCGCGCTGTGAGAAGCGGGGGCGGCAGGTGAGGGAGTGGGGGGCCGCGGAGCGGGGTGCGGAGGAGCCGCCGGGAGGGACCGCGCGCCCGCGGGACCGGCCTTGCGCCCCGCAGGGTCCCGGGCGCCGCAGGACCCCCAACGGCACCGTCGAGGCGGCGGGAAGGGCGCGGGACCCCGCCGGGGACGCGGCCCCTCCGCACGCGGGGCTCCGCGCAGAACGGCTGCTCCCGGGAGCGCCCCGACGGGCCCCGCTCCGCTTCCCCTCGGCTTCGTGTCGCGACGGATCGTTCGGGTAAGAGACGGGAGGGGTTTTTTTTTCCCTTTTCATTTTTTTTTTAATTTTTTTTTCCGCCTACTTTGTGTTCAAACACTGGGAGCTGAGAAATTACTGCTTTCTCTCCCCCCTTTACTTTCTGTCTTTTTTTGTTTCCTTTTCTTCGCTGCTTTCATTTCAAGCAATTTAAAACTTTAAGGTTGAGGCAAAGTTAGAAGGAAAATAATTGCTGTAATGAGGCTAGGCAATCTTCTACAGGCACGGTGGCTCCAGCGAGACTGTAGCTGGGGGCGAGGCAGGACTTTTATCATCTCCTAAATATCAATGATGCTTTCAATAACTTAGCGAAGCAACATACCTGAAACCAGCCACTTTCTCCAGCGCTCGCTTCTCTAATCCCTCTATTCTCATCTCTCGCTCCTTTTTGGCCGCCCAGTCTTTACTGGGCTGAAGCGGATTTTTTTTTTCTTGATGGACTTTTTTTTTTTTTTTTTTTTTTTTGGCTGTCTTTCTTTTCCGAACATTTCTTTTCTCTGTGCAAACGACAGTGTCTGCGCTCCTGACCCCAGCGCCCATCGCCCGCCAGGCGCGGAGACCGCGGCTGTTTCCCACGTTGTGTCTGGCAGAAGACGCTGCAGATAAAACCTTAGGCTCCTGCGCAACCAGACCGGGGGCTGGAGAGGGGATCTAACCGCGCAGGAGGTCGGGGTTATCCCCGTTAAGAAACCCTTAACATGTTGAGAGATATTTTTAAACGGCATAAATCGCCTTGAATTGGTTACTCCAAACGCATCCCGCCTCCGCACCTTTGGGTGCGCCGGTGCGGCAGCGCGGAGGCTCTGAGCAGTCCGTGCACTTTTATCTCTCCGCTTCGCTTTATTTTATTTTATTTTATTTTATTTTATTTTATTTTATTTTATTTTATTTTATTTTATTTTATTTTATTTTATTTTATTTTATTTTATTTTATTTTATTTTATTTTATTTTATTTTACATTTTGTCAACTCGAGATGGATTTTGGAAGCGCAGGATTCCTATTGAACATGTCTTTGCTTTAAGTTTTCCCCCTGACCCTTGGGCTAAAGTCCTTGGTTGCTCAATTAAACCCAGATGAGAACAATTAATAACTAAGTAATGACAATAAGTTGGGAATCACACGGATGAACGCTCCATGTGAATAGGAAAAGCTCACACAAAAGAGCAAAAAGGATTTGTCGGCTCTTTTTAAGGGGGAATTGGCTTTTCTTTTTTCTTGCCTCTGGCTTACCAGCAAATAAAACTCACTTTTGTGTCTTTGTCGCCTTAAGGATCTCAGTGGGCAGTTGGAAGTGAGAATGGCTGTTTTCCTTTCAACTTGAGGGTGCTGGCGCCACGCAGCCCCAAGGATAGAGAGTAGCCAAAGCAAAGTTTCCTAATAACTCCCGTCTCCCCCGCCGCCCCCCCGGGCCCCGCGTGTCTCCACACACTCCGAGAAAGCCCCGGCAGACAGAGGAGAGAAAACAGAGGGGCCCCCTGCACATCCGTGTGGCAGCCACGCCGGGCACACTCAGACACACGGGGGCTGCTCCCCGGCCATGGGAAAGCCCGGGGCTGCGCTCGCTTCCACGGGGGGGAATTAAATTGCACGGGAGCCAGCGCAGAGCCGAGCAGCGAGCGCAGCCGTCGGGGCGGCGCACGAGGGAGGAAGCCATTTTTCTGCCCTTGATTCGCACAAAAGAGCCCGACTGCAGCATGCGGCCGGCCACGGCGTTGGGCGGACGTGAAACCAGCCTCGGAAGGCAGTTTTGCCCGTAGCCAACTCTGTGCAGGCTTTAAAAATCCCGAGCAGCACCCGGCTTGGAAACGCTGCGGCGTTGGGACGGGCCGATTTCAGGCCTGGAAGGAGCAGCAGTTGGTGCTTTTGCAGTTGAAAAGTAAGGAAAGGATCTACGTCAGGTTTAGCTGCAGAGAAGAAGGCTGCTGGAAAAACCTGCTGCACAAACCTCTGGTTAAACTACGGTGTTATTGTCCGCTCTGAAATTCTGGTATTTTCAGAGACTCTCCCACAACTGGCAATTTAATTCAGAGCACAGATCAGTGCCCTGCTCCCTCCAGAAGTATTTTCCATAGCGCTTAAGTAAATTAGGAGCCCAAATCCTGTTTTCTAAAGCGAGAGAGAACAAGATCCAGCAGAGGAGAGTCAGGGAGGTGTGAGAGCAGCCTCCTCCGCTCCTGCTTTGCACCGCACATCACAGCCCCGAGAGCTGCAGCCAAGCTGCGAGCAGCCTAACCTGCCCACTCCTCTCCACACACGGGGCAGAGCGGGAGCCTCCTGGGGTTCCTGGTCTGGAAGCAGGGGTCACAGCGGTGACGCCTGGCCCCGAATATGTCCCTTGAGCCACATCCCATCCTCCTCCAGAAGACCTCGATTTAGGACGTTTGCTGAACAGATCTGCCAGGGAATGGAAGACTTGATGCTAGCTCCCTGATATTGCCTGATTTGGGGCAAAACATCTGAATTCAGGCATTTTGTGCAGAAAGATGCTAATCTCCAATTTACTGGGGACTCGGAGATAAATGACTCTCTGGTCCTTCCTAACTATTCTGCTTGATTTTGTATTAAACACAGAACTGTCCAGAGAGAGGAAGGAAAAGCATTTGCCTAGATAGCCTAGTGACAGGATACTCCTCAGGGCACCGGGTGGTTCAGATGGGATCCAGCAGAGCAGGGACTGCTGAGCTGTGTCCCCTTGCTGGGGATGTAACACTGTGCACCCCATGAGCTTCTGGCTGTAGCGAGGGAGGTTTTCCCCTCCCTGGATCCCCACAGAAGCAGGATGATGTGGAATAGACATTTAACTACAATAATCTGTGGCAGAGAGAAACACTTTTTCTGCCTGTCACAATGCAGGATCCAAATATGTACACGTATATATATGTATATATTTACATGTATATATAAAAAGCCCAGTGAGGAGTTTGCAGGTTGCTGACGTTCCTTCTCATTAGCTTTTAACCCTCCCCACACCCGTGTGAAGCACAGCAGTGTCTGAGCAGTCTGGCCCACAACAGGGAACCTGCAGACAGGGCGCCCCGGTGATGGGCACCACAGCCTGGTGCCCGCAGGACTGGCCAGGGCCTCCCGGGAACCTGCCCCCTTTGCCCTCCAGGTTCTGCAACAGCGGGCGGCACCAGAAGCAATAGCCCTGACTCTTTTAACTGCAAAGAGTAAATTATAGCAGGCTGCCTGGAGATTTGATAGCCGTCTTTGTACAGCAATAAACCAGTCAGTGCTACCTCTGATTTCTTCATCATGTAGCCCCTTTGCTTCTCCAGGCTGGATCTTGTTGCTGCCCTGTGGTGATTAGAGGGAGAGCTGGACAGGGAGCTACCTGGACGCACTCTCCCTCGTGCGAGCAGGAATGTGCAGAAAATCCAGCGTCCAAATCTGCCCGTTTCATGTCAAGAAATGGACACAGCCGAGGAACTTGCTGCAGCACGAAGTGAAATGCTCACCGTGAAGTGAGAGCCAGCAAGCTGTACTGCGCGGGTGCTCCTGGATGCTGTGCAGGGTCCACCCCAATAACCATCTGATTCTCAGCAGCGCAAACAACTCTGCAATCAAAAGTGCTCGGGAAGGAGGTTTCGTAGAAATAGGGATGAAATCTGGGAGAGATTGTGTGGCTGCAAATGAACTTGCATTAAAGTTGGGGCAGAAAATGGAGTGATGGGCTCAGGGTGACCAGCACTGGGGAAGGGTCAAGATGCAAACACGCAGGCCTGTAAAGATGCAGCACAAACTGAGCCATGTTTTCATTGTCAGGGTTTTGTGGCCAACACAGACAAAACTCTGACTGCAGATGCCGCTTCCCAGCGTGGGATAGGGAGAGGAGCACAAA